CAGATATTCAAAAAGTCCTATCCTAACAAACCATACATCAGTAGAAAGCTTATTTATTCAGCTTTCAGATGATGTATAAACCTAAATTTACTTAAATTTACCCTTAAGACTGGCTTTGTGGTCCAGGGTCACATTTTTGTCTGTACACCTACCCATCCTAAGGTGTTAATGTCTTTTATGAATGCAGGTTGGATCGTTTTGTAGTTCATGACTACGTGCACCGCTCTCTGATAGAAGTGACCGAGGGCAAAGATCTGGAGGAGGAGCTGGAGGGATGTGAGCTGGACCGGATATTTAGGCTCGTTCTTTTGCATAATCACCAGAGCGCCACCTCTCAACTTCTACTGCAAACAAATTCAGAGTTAGTATCCAGTATGCAAAGAACCATCAAACTGTCAGACACAACATGGTCTTTATGGCAAGATCAAAGCAAATCATTACAAAACATACAAAACTCTATGTAGTTTCCCTCAATAAACACATGTCTTCTTCTTGTTTTCTTAGAGCTGAGAAGGACTCGTGGATGCAGCTCCTGGGTGGACGGCGAGATGGACAGGATACCGTGTATGAAGAGTGGGGTGAGAATGAATCACTAAATGCAATACTTGTTTTTATGTGTGTTTGTTAGAGTCAGTTCAACAGAAGCCAAAAAAATATTATAATACATATATCATAATGACACCATCTTTGTTTTTTTGACTCATTGCTTTAATTGAACAATGGAAAATATTTCATTTTTATCCTTCATCCTTCATTATTATATAATATTATAATAATAATAATTTTCTTTGTATTATTATATATGACATACATGCCTAACACTGATTTGGGGTCAGTTAGGTTACCTCTAAATATCACATAACAAAACACATATTTATATGAATATATGTCTGATCTTGTGTTTTGCTTATAGGTGTTATTCAATGACAGTATGTACAAAAGTACAGTTCTATAAATTATATGTAATAGTATATGGTACAATAAACAATAGCTTGTGCAGCTACACATTGTCCATTAGGGGGCAAAAGTGTCTATGGCTTCAAGATTGTGTTTCCAAAAATGGGAAACATCTGTTCTTAATCAGAGCAAACAATTAACTGCAGTGTAGATGCTCTTTAGAATTATAATACATTTGTGAATAAATAAAAAAATAAACAATGTACAAATTTGAATCAAATAGGCACTGTGTGTAAGACTGTCCTCAGGTGCGATGTATAGAGGTGTACAGTGGACAACAACAAGGGGAGCTTAGTCTACAGCTGGGAGATATGATCAACGTGATGCAGAAGACTTCAGAGGGTACTGTTGCAACACAACCCTGCCATTCCGAAATTCAATAAGTCTAAAATCAATGAATGTTTTTTGAATTGGCACGCTAATTCTCTCGTTTCTGGTCTTTTGTAGGGTTTCTGGAAGGCCGCAGGGTACAGGACGGACAGAGGGGCTGGTTCTCCGCTGCATGTGTTGTAGAGATCACCAATGAACATGTGCAGAGACGTCATCTTCGTCAGCGGTATCATGTCCTACAGACAGCCACACGCCTGCTGAAACAACGCAGTGGGGGCCTTGAACTTTCAACCACAAAATGCTTTAAATAAGAGACTGTCTGCATTGCAATTTGCATTTTTTTCACTTACTGATTTAAAATAAATTAGTAAATAATTATATGTACAATCTATGTATAATTTAACTGAACTACTGCCAGTTGGTCAGTTGGTCTTTTGGTCTTGGTTTATATATATTTTATGTCTGGTTTTACAGAACAACTTCAAACATCTGTGCATGTGATTTAAGAAACACTGAAACTACTTTCTATGGTTTGCAACAAAAAATGTGGTCAGTACTTATTCTTGCTCCAGCTTGCAAATGTGGAGTTGCTTTTTTTTATGTAGCCTAATGTACTGTGCATGTCATGCTTATTCCCTTCTGTTATTTTTCATTCTGTTTAAATA